TTGATGAAAAAGGGATGACGTAAATTTTTTGCAACATAATTTGTTCATTAACTGACCCCTTGTACTTTTTACTTTATACTACTTCATCTGAATAAGTAGTGCCTTTTTGATGTTGAGGCTTTTTAGGTTCAGATCAAAAATACGAAACTTCTTTAAAAAGCTAATCATCTGAACTATTATTCTAACTTCTCACTTTATCACTGACCGTTTATGCTGCCTCAAAACTGCATCGATCAACAATGAATCTGTTATTTTAAAACCAGTTGGCTTACACCTGCTGTCCCTAATGGAGCATTAGCCACCAACCAGCATTCTCGAAACAACTCTATCCTTAACTCTATGTAACAGTTGTTCCTAATAGCTATATGTTATTTCCTAGCGAAAACCAATCCACAGTACACTAGTGTATGCTCGGAAGACAGTCCGATGCTAATTTTCCTGAACCACTGAAGCAGAACTAAGTCCTGTTACAAGATTCAGGCATTTTTTTACATACACACAAAATCAAACCACATGCCGTGGAAATTAACGACTATAAATTAATAAGCTCTGGGTAGGAGAGATTTTTTATAACAGATTGTCAACTAAATAAGGACAATAAGTCGTATGATAATAATTCGCTGGTCAATGGAAAGCTTATGGTGAGGGGGGATGCTTAAAAGCATGTGTATCGTTCGGATGATAGCTTTTGTGTTCCTCTAAGTCTCCACTCCGTATGATGGAACTGTTTAGTTTTTTCTATTGGAAATTCTGACTTTGGTGTTGATTGATAGTTGTAAAAATACTTCTGTTGCCTTGCTTATCTGTGTAGTCACATCTATATCAGATCCACCTTGTTCAATAATAACACTGATCAGCCCTGTAAATATTCCTACATTTTCCATGGCTTCTCCATCAGGTGTAATTTGGTGTGTCCCCACGGTGCAGTATCGGAGGATCCTGCTTTTCCCTTTGTGTATGTTGAGAACTACCGCTGCATCAAATGTTGATTCACTTGCTGTGTTCTCCTGTGTTTGCTGCGGTGTCTGAAATAAGAGAGCTCGTTCGTCTACGAAGTTCTGATTATCTGGTTGTATTCGAGTTGTCAACTGTATTCTATGCTTTCACTATGACGTCAAGGTTTAAATAATGTGGCCAACCTTCTAAAAATAGAAATCGAGTGAATGTGAGCAACATTTACTGACACCGGCTAAATAAATGGACTCTGAACCACAATGAACTATCTAGTCACCTGATATGATAGTTATCTCTAACAATTAGTTCTCCATTCGCTGGATCTTGAATGGCCTATAAAACTGACTGCTGATAATTGCTTGGTGTATCTCATAAATTTAGTTTTCCGTCAATTGTCTGTAAACATTTACTTTTTCTTACGAGACAGTAATCTTGTATTTGGTATCATTCCTTTGGTGACTTTGACTTCATATTTCTGTCTTTCATTTAAGTAGTTACGAATTATACTGACAGTTGAAATCACGAATCGATCATATCTAGCCCGTTATTGGAGATCTTCAAGAACCTTCCGTAAACAGTCTGTGTTTTCTCGGAACATGAATTGTGACCAAAATATAGTGCTACACCTGTGATCTCAATCAGCTCAATGCATCATGGTCGGTTCAGTCTTGTGTTATCCGATGTCACAATCAGAGGCTTTAGTAGTGAGTTATTTTTTGAGCACTGGCTGACTTCTTTTAAGTCTTAAATATAAACTGTAGCAGCGGATAATAGTTATTCGTCCCTTCGAATTATCTGAAGTTAGAAATGTAAACCTTTATCTATCAACTTTCCCTAAAGACTAGATGCGTTGTCTTCGAACTCTATCAGAGTCAAAAACGTGAACTGCTGGTGTAATCTATGCACAGGTAAGACAGCTATCCATATTATTCAGGATTTTATTGTTTATCAAACTAGAGTCAGTTCGTGAAAAAAATCACACTCAAACGCATATTTCGAAGATTTTATGAGCAGATAGAAATTGGCGAATTAATAATAATATTTATTCTCGAATAACAGTACGTTAAAAGAGGCATGCCAGTTTACAGGCTAGATCAAACTGCCACAAATGCTTACCCGTTTACTTCAGAAGTTATTGCACTTAAATTTAGTATAAGAGTCCCGCTTACACTATGTCACTGACAGAAACAGTTTGATACAGCCACATTTTCAATAGAAGAGTACAATTAGGGAAGGTGCGCGTCATAACAATTCGTTACTCAGTATTAAGCTGAATAACGTTATTTGTACTAAATAATAACCAACATTTATGGGGTCGAAGCAAGAATACTTTTGAATGTCAGCTGAATGAAAACAATCAGTAATAATCATATATCTCTCATCGTTGGACAATGACTAGAAGCTAACAAGAACTAGACAACCGTCCTATTATAATATGAGGCTTATCAACAGTGGGTATCCACGATCTCCGCATATGGCAATCGAATGCAGGAGTTATCGTCTCGAACGCAAAAGTGTAACCGCTACACCAGTTAAACCGGTATCTAACAGTAATAAAGTCTCACTTCAGTCAGCTCAAGATATTCAACGACACAAATCGTAATTCTTCATCATTCCATTCTGCTTCCGTCATCTTAAAAATATAGCTTAGAATTCTCAGCCAAATATGCTATATCTCAAAATACAGTCTTGCAACTATCTCGAAAAAATACAAAGGTTACCAGGTCTTGTTTACCCATAATTCCAAGGCTGATCCAGCCACTCATTTAGATACTTTAAATAAGACAGCAGTTGGTTTTTTGATTTCAAGGTATGTCAAAATAATTGGCTTGGTGATTTGTTTCTTCACTCTACAAAACCTTTTCTTCACACTGTTGTCCAATTCAATGTTTTTCACATTTCCAGGTAGAGTATGGGGTTACAGCGCTCATTAAGGATATGGAATTTGACATTTTCCATAAGCGGCTTTTTCTTCCATAAGACTTAAGAAGAAACCATTTCGGGCATCATCAGAATTTATAACGTACAAAGGAATTACAGTAGTGTTTACATTCATCAAAATCAAACAGTCTATTGTGTATGGATAATTACAACTGTAGAATTCATTTTAAAGGCTTCGTTTTTGGGAAAATCGCTCCACGTTTATAATTGTGTTATGATTTGTTAACTCTTTCTGTTCAGTATTTTGGTACCCTTTAGTTCCAATTTGGGATATTAATACTTGTATTTTGTTATATTTCCTATTTTCTGTACTTAAGCTTATATGTTTCCTTCTGAACTGTAAATTTGTTGTTTAAATTGATACTTAGTATGGCTACCTTTGCGGTAACTTGGTATTCTTGACTAGAAGGACGCATTCTTCCAGAATTGGAAATTGATTGTGTTAATTTCTGATTGGAACAGTATAATATTGTTTAGGTAATTATCTGTATTCCTTTTTTGAATAACAATAGAACCGTTCTTACCCACAATTTGTATTTTGAATTTGGACTGGGCAAGGCGCTTATATTCTACATACCATCTCCAAAAGCAATAATGCGATGACATTTTGATTAGAAGCTGATGGAAACGATTAGATATCAATTCGTAGGGCTCTTACATACGTCGTTGGAAAAAGATAAATATGGATAGTCAACTTGCACCAGTATGTCTGAGACATATCTGAAAAGAGAAGGACATGTGTCAAGCGAGTTAATGAACTCTTACCAAAGGCAAAAAGGAGAGTCTGGCACAAGTGCAAAGTCTCTCTGAAGGTTCTCACCATAGTTTTTGCTTGGTATTAAGAAAAGCATGTTAGGCCGATGTTCAAGGGGATAGGAGACACTGCCTAACGAAACAATCATCCAAAATATAGGCAAACCAAAAATATCATTTGAGGTTCATGACTTAAAGAAAACCTGCAAACGAGGTTTGTTATGCTTTCAAACGTCCAAATGGTGAAGATCTTATCGAGAAAGAGATGGATCGGATCTTTTACGCTTACTCCGCTGACCAGTTAAAGCAGATAATTTCAAGTTATGGTTACTACTTTGACCTAGTTCCAGGTAATGGCCTAGGGAACATTCAGCTTAGTCTTGACTCAGTACCCGAAAATTCCCTGAGCCCAAGAGAGTCACTAGGATATGACAATATTCGCACTTTGTTATTAAAACAACGTGTGGATTTACCCGGTTCACATGTATGTGACTTCTTCAAGAATTCATAGCAGTCGCACCGACTTCTAGCTGAATGGACAGCAACTACTCTTCCACCAATCTTTAAAAGATGAGGTGGTAACGATCCAATTTGCTGCAGATCAGTTGCATTACTACCAACAGTGTCGAAGCTAATGAAAAATAATAGTGAGTGTGCGAAAGAGGAAGTTCATGGATAAAAACATCATCCTTCATGAAGCCACACGCGTGTTTAGGAACTGCACGTATTGTGCTGGACAACCTGTCGAGATTGAGAAATATCTGTTCACATAATATTCTCTAACTTCTCAAAAGCTTTTAACACAGTAATTCTGAAGATTTCTAAAATGGGCTTCACCCATCCAATTTTATTCTGGCTTATAAACCAGCTTGTGAACAGACAGTTTCCTAGCAAGGTAAACAGGGTGAATTCAAACTGATCAGTTTCAGGATTGGGAGTTTCACAGGGGATAATTCAAGGTCTACTCCTCATTTCGATATTTAATAACAACCCGTCGGATAATACAAGCTCATCAGCTACGATCTGAAGATTCATAAACAGAGTAGGATACATTTGAGTTTCGATAGGACGTTACAGCAACGCAACCAGCGATTTGTCATGTATTTATCATTCTGCTCTGTGTCAGACAAACAACTTACGTCCTCCAGATCAAGAATCGAGTGCGAAGAAACCAAACTGGATTACACTAGCTCGTGAAAAAGATATTGGATATTGGACTAGAATTATTGCTGCCCAGTGGTTAGAATGAAATCTAATTAGATACTACAACTACCTGAAGTGGATCAGGGTACCGTGTGCAAAGAAATCGATCGGTGTATAGTAGCTCATAAAAAAGATATTGGATATAAGATATGCATTGTACATTGAGCTTTAATGGCGGGGTTATGAATTGCCCGACGCGTAGACTCGCACTCCTGTCAGCATGTGCCTTTTATCCTGGTTCTTACTCTGCTAGGTTTTCAACCACTCAAAAGAGATGTTTAACAAAAGTTTATTCAGAACATCCTGACCTCATCAAAATTGTATCTAATGAGTTCATACTGAAACCAGATTTTGTGACGGAGGAAGAGGAGTTAGGCTTGATAGACGAACTTGATTCAGTACTTTGCAAACGAAAGTACCAAACACAACACTGGGATTATGTGAGTTTTCATAAAAAAATTTTTATTGCTCAGGCTAGCTCAGAATATTTTGATCAGCACCTTCCTAACTACATTGTTTAATTTTTAAAGTACTTATATATATATATATATATATATATATATATATATATATATATATATATATATATATATAGTATTAACTTGTACATTTAAAACATAGAGAGAAAATAGACTTAATTTAGACAATGTAAATCCCACAGTACTGATCTATTTGAGCAAATATCGATGAATATGTAATGTTAACTCATCCAGTGCACATTTTCTATTTTACAGTCATAATTCAGGCTGGCCGATTCTTGAAGTCAATTAAAGCTATCAGAAGGCATATAGTGTTATTTGATCCACATATTGAGCAATATTTTTCCTTAATTCTGTTTCCTGTCAAAATAACTATAACCCAACTAAGCACTAATTGCTGTTATATAAAACAACTGTACCTAGTGTTTGTTCCACATCACTTGTTTTCTGCTCTAACTTTGTCAAGACGCTTGTATGAGTCGTTTATACAAAGTAAATGTGAACCATTTTGCTCATTTCGATATTCTCAATAGATGATCAGCAGACTTATCAGCCTTCTTTTTGCGTATTCCAAGATAAATTTTTAAAAATCAAGTCATCAAGTAGCCTTTTTTGAAGTCTCGCAGTCGGGTTTGTTTATCTTCAGGGTTGTGAAACATGATATAAAAGTGTCATAAGTAAACATAGGCTACATTCATATGATTACATGTATTGCTAGCATTCAGCCAGATGAGTGATACCATTAACTCATACATATAGTGTCCGTGGCTCAAAACCGTTTTCAATGGCACTTGTGCACCCACTCTGTGTTTTCTGAAATTCTATTCTGAATTCCTCACCATATCTCTTTCTAAATTTACTTGATTATACTTCTTGAATAATATCGTCGAACGTATGAAGTTCTAGGTTGTTGTTCACTGACTGACATATGGTGTGGATCCTATCCAAGTACTCGGTCAATCAGTCAAGCATGGGGCTCTCACCTTTTATTGCCAAATTAACGTTGCAACATTATCATGAGGTGCCTCAGATCGATATAAGTTACCATAGCTTTCCCTAATGGAGATTTTATCTTACATTCAATCGTTTGTGCCCACACCTCGGCATAAACGTCTCCACTATCGCCAACAAGGTTAATTCCAATCAGATGCTTCTGTCAATATTGGAAGAACTGTTATTACGTTTTGAAAATACAAAGTAATCATTATTACCTTTTTACTTGTGTTGATTAATATTGCAGTTCTCAGATATTGCTATAATTGACCTTATACTTGAACCATCAGTCTACTAAATTCACTGGGTTTCGATACTTCTTTTTATACCCGACCGAAGCTGCTACCTTGATGTGGTGGTCGGGCTTGCCTATCCTGATGACCCAACCGAGCTATACTGGCTGGAACATATGTTCCTGCAGGTCCTACCATGCCAGGCTGGTCGATTGGAGCACTCTGAGATTAAAAGCAGCTACCCAAGGTCTGAGAGCGAAGTCGTACTGCTGATTGCAGAGGGGTGTAACAGCAGTAAGGTGTTTCCCTCGGACAACCAGCATCTGCAGCGATGCTGCCTTCTCACAAGGAAGGAAGGGTTAGAAAAGGTCGGCCCTAAAAATGTCATACCTCCCCTAACTCACAGATTTCCGTCTCCAGGGGTAAGGGTGCCCACTAAGGGCCTTTAAGAACGGAGCTAATCCTCTAAATATCTTTCATAAAAAGGCCGTGCGTGACCGGCCTCAAGCAGTTGTCCCTAGGACTCTGCGGTCACGCTCCCAGGTCTCCAAGACCAACACTAATCTATCATCCTTTTCAGGTTCCTCAAGAAACAACCTTCCACGGTGTGGGCAGCCGGAAAGTGACAACCGCCCTCATACCCGTAACAGCACGCGAGACCAAATCGGTCAAAATCCTGACTGACTGACTTCTTTTTATATGTATTTTTACACAGGCTATAAATCTCTGTAATCGATGTTATCTTTTTCTTTCCTATTTTAGGCTATTAAAAATTTTCGTGAATTAGAACGTAGAAACTGGCATACACGGAATCAACCTGTTATCGATCGATTAAAAACATTCACTGCTAAAAGCAGTGAATGTTTAACTACAGTAACAAAGGAAGCAAATGTTTCAGATAGTGACCAGTTAGTGCTACCATTAATTCATGTTTTGGATTTAGCTGAAAATGGGGAAATAATGGCCCATGTAGATAGTGTAAAAGTAATTCACCTTGCTAGTTTTCTTCATATATATTACAGTATGATTTATTTAAATCCAATTTCTCGAATAGTCACCTTAATGAATTAAGATGTACGACCAAGTCGTCGATTTTAAATATATCGTACTAACATGTCACATTGGTTTCTGGCTAACTTCTGGTCATCTGATGACCATGATAGCTTATTGATTCACTGTTACTAACTCAGTCACTAATGATAAATGTTTGACTTCAAAAATAATTAAATTTTACGTTGTCTGAACTTCACATCAGAACTGTAGTTGTCTACCTACTAGTTTACTTACCGATTTAAGTATGAAAGTGATCTTCGGTTGCATCGTTTAAATGTCCATGTACCTGGGTAGCTTGATGGCGTGAGTGATGAGACTGATTCACGTATATTGAAAACTAAAGTGGCTTATGCTAATATGTACTATTTTTTGGCGTCTTTGTAATGTTAGTTTGGCTGTTAAAAGTCGTGTCTACAATGTGAAACCTGGCTTCTTCGAATCGAAGATATTAAGAAACTTTCTGTGCTTGATCACTGTCATGTCGGAAAGATTACTAATATTCAGTGACAACATCATGTTAGTCATGCAAAGGTTTCGGCACAACAGCAACAACAATTGATTTAATATCATTGACTTGGGTGGCACGGATTATGTACTACAAATGTCATCCCAGTGAATTCCACATCAGAAAAAGAAAGAGATAGTCAGTGTATGGCCTGATAATGTCAGGGTATTAAAATATGCTATATAGAAGAACTGTCATTCCCAATGTTGATAAGATCATTCATTCATTCATTCAGTTTCAATGTAAGGTAACTCAGAAGAATTTGTTCTTCTGTATATAGATAGTATGAATAACCACCATCCTTGGCTGACAAGATCACATACATAATATTGTTTACTATTCTATGCTTTGTTCAGTCAGTCAGTCAGATGCAACGTAGAACTTCGTACGTCAGTACATCAGTTCATGTTGCCATACCACATCAGCACAGAGATGTAATTATCAATTCAAATCCAATAGTAAAAGAGGTAGTAAAGGTATTAGAAGTAATCGAAGAGGTTAGGGTTAGAAGATATTATTCAAGGAGTATGATTTAATGAGAAAAGTTTAGAAAGACAAAACTAGAGGTGTTGAAGAATCCAGAAGATTAGAATTTGAGAGAGAACACAAAGAATAAATTCACCGGTTTCATTGCAAACGATTTTGAGCCATGTCATTCAAGGTCTCTAACCATCGATTATTATCATCTCGCGGACCCCAAACCAGGTAGTCGACAATTACCGACAATGACTTCATGGATTTGTGCCATGTTTTGGTCTGGCCGCTCCTAACTTTCTTCCAACCTATTCCTACACTACAAAACAAAGCTCTTCGAGGCAGTCGATGGTTAGGCATACGTAACACATGTCCCAACCACCTCAACTGATGAAGTTTCATTACTTCATCTATTGATCTGCCATTCTTACCTAGCACCCGATTCCTAATAACAGCATTGCTTACTCGGTTGTCCCAGGATATACCGAGCAATGCTTCGAAGACACCTATGATTAAAAAACCTATGCTTTGTTATTATTATTAGGTTGCTTCAGGGGGTTAATTTTTTCTTTCCCTTTTTCAAAATTTTTACAAACCCAAATTGAAAAGAAAAGAAAAGCAATAACTTCTTCTCTTCTCCTACTTTTATTTTTATTATTTCAGTTCTGTGGACAATCCATTGCTGTATTAAGTTTACTTGATCATTCAATTCTACGTTTAAGTGTTGCTCCACACAGTGAAGTTATTGGTATACCACAAGATCAATACAATCATTTGCATACATTACACTTACCTGCCATTGGTTCATGGATAGATATTTATATACCTAGACGATCAGTTTATCTACTATGCGGTGCATTGCGCTACCTTATGACACATGCAATTTTATCCAATGAACAAGTGAATGATAATCGCAAAAATAATTTACAAACGAAGAACCACCAACATCAACAACAACAATGCATGAATGATTTGTACAATATCCATCGTGGACGACGTCTATCGATTATTTGTCGTACACATGCTATTCCTAATCTTATTCCTTATTATAATACTACTAATAATACTGATAATCATGAAGAAAGTAATGTGGAAAACTTGTCAATAAGTGTAAAAAATGCTTATATAAATGAAAATGTATAGTTGTTGCGTTTGTTTGTTTCTATCCTTCTGTTCTCAAATTTTTTTTCCCCCTAGATTACACTGTTTTGAATAACATCATCTTGTACAAATCTTAATGTGTTACCATTTTACTGGCTCACAGTTTTACTATCTCTCTACCATCAGGGCATTTGAATGGACAAATAAGATCTCTCTCTCTCTCTGTGTGTTCTAATTTAGTATGACAATTTGAACTTGATGAAGTTTTACGTGGTTACTGACTGGCTGACTGATTGACTGACCGACTGTAGTTGTTATTGTAAATAAATATAAATATATATTCTTTCTGATTAGATGTTCTCTTTTTTTTGTGTGTGTATGTGCGCGTCTGTGTTTAAATTGTTGTGTTATGTATTTAAAAATTATTATTATTATTATGTCACGAAATGACTTCAGCGAAACAATGCAAACGAAATCATTTTTGTTTTGAGGCGAAGTAAACGACTGTTTTGTTGTGATGAGTTCTAGGTAGGGATGGCAGATCAATAGATAAAGTAGTCAAACTTCATCAGTTGAGTTGGTTGGGACAAGTGTCACGTATGCCTAACCACCGACTGCCTCGTCGAGCTATGTTTTGTGGTGTAGGAATAGGTTGAAAGAAAGCAAGGGGCGGTCAAGCCAAAACATAGCGCGAATCGATGAAGTCACTGACAGACAAGTGGACTGAGTCGTGTTGGTATATGTAGACTACCTGATTGAGGTCCGCGAGACGAAAACCGCCAATGGTTAGAGACTTTGAACGACATGGCTCAGAATCGTTTTTACTGTCAGCTATCTTACCTAATTCAGTCCATCAGCTTTAGGTCTGCGTGATAACCGCAATCAACTATTGGAAACCATTTAGTGGCATGATTTAGGTTCAGATTATGAAGGCATAAATCCATTCACAAGTTTTCATAGGTCTTCAGTTCCAATATTTCTTTATATATGGTTTTTTCCAATCATATTTTAAATTGCTCGTATTGGGTTGTCGAGATTATTGAGTTTCGCTGAAATCGTGAATCGTTTGAATTTTAGAAGTACTGAATGTAACTCATTAGCAGTGCGCATCTCCATAACCTGTAATGAAATCCAAGACATTTGGTCTTGCACACAAATGCTTAACCCTTTGACCACTGAGTCAGAACCGTCGGTTTTGCAGGCGAATGCCTAACCTCTGGACCACTGGACCGGCATCCAACGATGTTAGTGTTCTAATCCTCATCAATCCAGGGATTTTGCGTGACCTCACCTGTTTTTTTGTCTTTGATAGCTACTATCTACACCCGATTGGTTTTGAGGCGCTCTACTAGTTTTTCATTAATAAACAACAATTTCTCTGTAACTATAATGAAAAATCGTACAATGTACTCACTCACTAGTGACTAGCTTCATGAAGAAAGTTTTTTTAAAGAGTTCTAGTAAGAAGACGTTATTTGTCTAATAATAACTCAAGTAAACTTTGATTTCAATTTATGTAGACTGAAGTAAGGTGGCCCCTTTTTGAATTTGAACTCACAACCTATTTTTTAATCGAAAGTTGTAATTTTAAATATTTTGTCATGTATTTTTTTTCTAAAAATAAAATGCATTTTAATTTATATTAATGTAATTTATTTATAATTAAAAAAATTTTACATTTCAAAAAAAAAATAGAAAACTGCATATATTTTTCTCCTATAAATAATAAATGGAAAACGGTCGAAACACAAATCTTCGAAGTCTTGTACGACCAGTTTCACCATTATCTAGATGGCAAAAACCACCACTTCCAGTGGATGATACTGTTAATCATGATACTGTTGATCATGATGACGATGATGATGATCGCGATGATGATGATCGTCGACTAGGTCGAAAACGTTTCGATCGACGTCGTAGTAGTCGAAGTCGTTCACCACCACCACCGGCATTATATTCTTCGGTACATCTTGCTACAACTGATTCAACTGGTGGTATAGAATTGAAACCAAGTGAAGAGACTAGACGTATCATAGTACGTCGTCCTCTTTTACACGATACATTAAATGATGATTACACACGATTGAATACTACTAATACTACGAATAATACTACTAATAATGATGAGGATCATAGTAATCATACTCATAGACAACGACGACGACGACAACGTTCAAGAGATGAACGTTCAAAGAAACCATTATCACGATCTTTACCATTTATGAAACATCGTCCTTTGCCGCCAATCGTTCCAAGTGGTATTGATCGTGAAAATACTTGTCCAATGTTACTACGTTTATTCTATTCTACCAATGCACGTCATTATTCATTGTCTGATTATAATAAAGGTCGTACACCGGAAAATGAAATACAATTTAATACTTGGTAAGTGTGTTTTTATTCTCTATATACTAATTAAAATACATTGATTTTATTTCGTCGCTAAATGATATTTATTTTTAAAAAAATATGGCAGTTAGTTTACTAAACAATGAAATGCAATTATCATCAGCCTGTTCTGTGATAGAACAAAAGGCGACTTAGTTACGAGTAGTACAGTTATAGTACGTGAATGTTACAAGTCTTTGCGGCCCTATCCTGTATGATTTCTAGTCATCAGTCAGTGATTTTGTGTGTTAGTGAAACTAAAATCCATCGTTGTGTTTTCTGTCATAAGTTGGATGGTTCGATCATGGAGCTATCATCGTCAATCAAAAGAACATCATCAGTAGTCATATTGTTGTCACGCTGCTACGTATAGCTCTTCAGTCTCTTAGCGGCGTCCAATTCAAATATTCCAATATGACCCAAAATGCTATTTCCAAATCTCCCTATATATCAGAACGCAACACCGTGGGATGGAGTTGTTTATTGGGTCGAGAACAGAAGAGAGGTAAGTAGGGGAAACGGAATTGGAATCCGAATCATTAAGTCTTTCAGATAGTGCGTATTTATACATTAAGGTCGAATAGGAAAGAGCATATTAAAATCTGTGACATTGACAGTTTAGGACGACCAATAGATAAAAGAACATTTGAAATGACATTGACAGTCCAGATGACCAATAAGAGGCAACATTGAAGTATTTGACTTTGACAGTTAGAACGATCATCATTTCGACCAATAGGATTGTACTTCTAAAAATGGTATTCTTAGGATATTTGGTGAATATCCTAACACATATCATATAGATATGACCTATTTAGTTGTTCCATTGTTAAAAAATCAGTTTGCTGTGATCACTTCTTTCGGGAATGGTTGTCTTCAAAGGTTTTGTCAACTTTAGTTGCGTGTTTTTTTTTAAATTCAACTTGATTTCAGTTATATAAGCCTTTTTTTCTGGAGAACTTTCATACACGCTTACATTCATATACAACATATCATTAGGTACTTCCTTACCTAAGCCTGTTACTTCCAATGGAGCATCGGCCACCGGCCGGCATTTTTCAACCTACTCGGTCCTGGGCCTTCCTTTCCAGTTTTGATTCATGCTTCTCATGTCTGTCTCCATTTTCCGGCGTAAGGTGTGTTTTGGTTTTTCTCTTTTCCTTTGACATTGAGGGTTTCTAGTAAGGGCTCGTCTTGTGTTGTAGTTAGGTGCATTCCTCAATGTGTATCCTGTCCGTTTCCAACATTTTTTCTTGATTTCTTCCTCCACTGGGATCTGATTTGACATCATAAGATAGTGGCGAAGTCATTTCGAAAGTTTTATCCGTAGTCCAGTGATAATTTTAGTAGTGCTAAGCCTTTCAAGTGGTAGAATATAAAATATACCTATTTTTTCTAATTGATGGTTTGATCATGCGCCACCGATTTAAAATATTGTAGGTAGATACCTAATCTCCATTCCCTCTAATACTTCTACTACTCTGGGATATGAATTGACAATTCGATCTCTCTGTGCTAATGTGGTATGGTAACTTAAACTGGTGTAGGTACTACGTACGAAGTTCTATGTTGTAGCTGACACACCTTTGCATTTAGTTTCATGAGTCAGTCAGTCAGTAACAACGTAGAACTTCGTACGTTAGTACATCGGTTCAGGTTGCCATACCACATCAGCACAGAGACGCAACTGTCAGTTCGAATCCCATAGTGATAGAGATGGTAAAAATTATTGCTGGTAATTGAGAAGATTAGGATTTGAAGGTAATATTCAAGAAGTATAATTCAGTGAGATAAGTTTAGAAGGACAAAGGTAGAGGTGTTGACGAATCGTGAAGATTAGGATTTGAGAGAACACAACGAGTGGATGCACCTGCACCATCGCAAACGATTTTGAGCCATATCATTCAAGGTCTCTAACCATTGGTGACTTTCGTCCCACGTACACCAACCAGGTAGTCTACATCTGCCAACATGACTCAGTCCACTTGTCTGTCAGTGACTTCATCGATTCGTGCTATGTTTTGATTTGGCCGCTCTTACCTTTCCTCCAACCTCCTCCTACACCACAAAATATAGCCCGTCGCGAGAGTCGGCTGTTAGCCATACGTAACACATGTCCCAAACACCTCAACTGATGAATTTTCACTACTTCATCTATTGTTTTGTCATCCTTACCTCGAACTCGTTTCCTAACGACAGCATTGTTTACTCGGTTGTCCCAGGATATTCATCCAATATCCTAAGAGAATTATTGGTCACTTCCTATTGGTTAATTTCTACTGGTCAATTTTATGATCGTCCTAGATATCAATGCCACGTACACTCCAATGTTGTTTCCCATTGGTCGTCTTAACTGTCAATGTCACAGACTTCGATGTTGTTTCCTATTCGACTTGACTGTATAAATACGCATCACCTGTAACGTTTTATGACCCTGATCCCTAGTCCGGGATCCTGATTCCCTTCTGGACTCGGAAATCGTACTTTCTGAATGCTTGTAGAATACACGTCCTACTTCATATGAAGTCTTCTTATTTTACTAAATATGAGAGTTGGGATAATCGGATTAGAGTAGCATGTCGTATCGCCGGATCCTCGATCCTCTCTCTCGTATTCCGACTAAGTTAAACTCGGCATAGTTCAAGCATATCAAAATGACGTGTTAACGTGCATGCTTAACACCCACTACCGCTAATACTTTTGCTACTTTACTACAACAACTATGAGATTTCAATTGACAATTCAATCTCTCTCTCTCTCTCTTTATGTTTTACCTTGATTCTTTTTCTCCTGATTAGGATTGATGCAACACTTGCAGAATTAGCAGATGAATTACGTCATGTAGTGCCAATGACTAGACGTCGTGGTACACGTATGCATTTTGCTATAGTTTATCCAGATAGTCGAGGTACTTATGGACGTCGTCAATTAGGTGTTGTTATCACTGGTTATGGATTGAATTCAAGTGAATTTGATAATAACGCCTCTGTTGCTGCAACAAATCGTAACAGTAATAATATTCAAAGACCATCTAATTTGATTGATGATTCATGTGTTACATTGTTGTCGAAAAAATTTCAGGTAAATTCAACTATTGATTTTTTGTGGTTACTGTTGTTGCTGTGTTTTTGTGTGTGCAGAAAACAAGGTTTAGATTGATACTAATTTGTGTTGTGATAACTTTGAACGGTTATAAATAACATTTACTTTTCATAACTAGGTATGTATGGTCTCAGGTCCAAGCCTCTTTTAGCCTACTTTGGTTTAGGTAGCAGCAGAATAATTGTATTTTGCCCTGTCATATCCTGTTTGCTACAAATGTGATAAAAGTCTGCGTCGGCCAACCAGCATCTGCAACGGCTCTGGCTTTTCACAAAGAAGGAAGGGGTTAGAAAAGGTCGACTCTAAAACTGTCACACCTTATCCTACCTCACAGATTCCCGTCTCCGGTGGTAAGGCAACTTAAAGAGCGGAGCTAACACTTTAAAAACTTCTCTAATAAAAAGGCCGCACGTGACTTGCCATAAGCAGTTGTCCCTTGGGCTCTGCGATCACATTTGCAGTTCGCTCAGACCAACACTAAACCGATTTCCTTTTCAGGTTCCTCAAGAAGCACCCTTCCACGGTATGGGTAGCCGACAAGTAATGTTCGCTTTCATAACCATAACAGCTGACTGACTGTGCATATTGTCTCAAATATCAAACCTGAGGTACAGATACATCCAAGTCGAAAAGAACCCGTGCCTTGAATCTTACCGCTAGTCAAATTCCATTTATTCTCTGTAGTAAACAACAGTCATTGAGTCAGTCTAAAACAACATAGAACGTCGTATGTACAGACAGATTCAATCATCAATCAATCGATAGCCACGTAGAGCTTCGTACATACGTATATCAGTTCGTGTTGCCATACCACAATCGTCAATTCAAATCCCATATTAGTATAGGCAGTAAAACAATTAGCAGTGGTCGGAAATTTTAGGGTTCGACGATGTTATTCATGAAGTAGAATCTAGTGAAATAGACTTGGAAAAAATATAAAGTCATAGGGAATTTAAAAGTTTAGGATTTGAGAGAACACAAAGAAAGAATGCGCCTGCGCCATTGCAGATGCTTTTGAGCTATGTCATTTAGGATCTCTATCGATCGATCATTATCATCTCGCGGGCCCCAAACAGGTAGTCGACACCTACCAACATGACTTAGTCCAGTTGTCAGTGACTTCATGGATTTCTGCCATGTTTTGGTTTGACCGCCCCTAACTTTCTTCCAACCTATTCCTACATCTCAAAACATAGCTCGTCGAGGCAGTCGGTGGTTAGGCATACGCAATACATGTCCCAACCACCTCAACTGATGGAGTTTCACTACTTCATCGATTGAACTGACATCCCTACCTAGAGCTCGTTTCCTAACGACAGCATTGCTTACTCGGTTGTTCCAAGATACACGAGCAATGCTTCGACGACACCGATGATCGAAGACTAGTAACCTACGAATGTCCTCTACTCTTACCGGCCATGTTTCTCATCCGTTTAGTTAGTTAGTTGTGGAGAGAAGAGAGGTGTGTGTGGGTGTAGGAAGTATTTGATCTCTCGTGCTGTTACGGGTATGACGGCGGTTGTCACTTCCCGGCTGCTCACTGTTGGGGATGTTAGATCCCCAAAATTCGCTTGATAATGCCGTATTTTGGTTTTCACGTTTCGCCAGCATGGGCTGATCAGATGACCTTGAGATTTCAATTCCCACCATGAAAATCCATGGCTGTGATTGGCTGCTGTGTATTTTAGTATGCAATTTTTTAACTGTCTCAAGGACGTTCCTATGTTGTATAAATAAACGAGAGTTGTATGCTTGATTGTACTGTGATTGCTGGGTGTTTGTAGAATATACTTTCTACGCTTACAAAGCCTTTTCACTTCAGCCTCGGATTCAAGGTAGCCTCCCTGGAAGCTGGTAAAAGTCTCGTTCGCGTTTATCGACTAAGGTAAACTCGTAATAGCCTCAAGCATACTAAGTGATGAACTTATCACCTCACCGTGGAAGGGTGTTTCTTGAGGGACCTGAAAAGGAAGATAGATTAGTGTTGGTCTTGGAGACCTGGGAGCGTGACCGCAGAGTCCAAGGGACAACTGCTTGAGGCCGGTCACGCACGGCCTTTTTATGAAAGGTTTCCAGATTATTAGCTCCGTTCTTAAAGGCCCTTAGTGGGCCCCCTTACCCAAGGAGATGGAAATCCGTGAGGTAGGGTGAGGTGTGATATTTTCAGGGCCGACCTTTTCTAACCCTTCCTTCCTTGTGAGAAGGCAGCATCGCTGCAGATGCTGGTTATCCGAGGGAAACACCTTACTGCTGTCACATCCCTCTGCAGTCAGCAGGACGACTTCGCCCTCAGACCTTGGGTAGCTGCTTTTAGTCTCATCGTTCTTCAATCGACCAGCCTGGCATGGTAGAACCTACAGGAACATATGTTCCAGCCAGTATAGCTCGGTTGGATCATCACGATAGTCAAGCCCGACCACCACGTCAAGGTAGCAGCTACCGTCCGGTTATGAGTTGGCGTATTTACATCAAATGTAGCATAAAACTGTTCATATATATATAAATGAAACTAGCTTATTTTATTGTTCATCATTTTCTATTCTTCAGATTGGTGATTATGTAGATTGTGCAATTGTCGAATATACTCCAGGTTCATTAGTTGGTTGGTCATCTGGACGACGTCCACTTGGTCCACCACCTCCACCGACTACAGCAACAACAACAACTGGTTCATTGGATCCACATGGTAGTTCTAAACTTGAAGAATCACGAATGATATAAATTATCGTTTAGAAAAAAAATAGAGCATTTCATTTTGTAAAATGTAAAATCTCTACTTTTATCCCTTTTTGTTGTCTTGTTTGGATAAGTATTTTTTTCTGGTTTAACTCTTCTTCTTCTTGTAAATAAAACGCATAAATATTGTTGATGGCTTTTTTTTTAATATTTTTTGTTCAAGGTTGACGTGTTTTGTTTTTGTTTGTTTTTTCAGTTCACGTTGTTTAAAACTTGTTTGTTCATTTTATGTTCATTGAATGCGTTACAAAATGACTGTTATTTCTAATATCATGTTTATATCTAATCATTTAACACGCAAGTGATCATCGATTACGTGGCCATACATATTACACCATTTGTTGAAGTGATTCAAAAATTTGGAGCTATTTGTGAAAGAAATCCTCTACTAGACCCATTAATCAGTATTTGGTGTGATTATAAGTGTCTTCGAAGCATTGCTCGAGTACCGTGAGACCATTGAGTAAGCAATGCTGTTGTTACGAAACGAGTTCTAGGTGGGGATGGCAAATCAACTGAAGAAGTAACATGTGTTTCATATGCCCGACTGCCTCGACGAGTAATGTTTTCTAGTGTCTGAATAGCGTGGAAGAAAGCTATGTGCGGCCAGACCAAAACGTGGCGCAAATCCATGAAGTCACCAAAAACTCAACTAAGCGATATTGGTAGGTGTAGATTACCTGGTTGGGGTTGGGGAGACGATAGTAACCGATGCTTAGAGACTTTTTGAATGATATGGCTCAAGATCGTTTGTAATGACGCAGGTGTTTTTATTGTTTGTCTTCTGTCAAATCCTAATCTTCTTAATTCCTCATAACCGTTCTTCTCTCTTTTAATTGACTATTTTGGGATATACTCCTCAAATAATATCTTCAAACACTAATCCTTTTGATTACCGCTAATACCTCTATCTTCCTTTCAGGTTCCTCAAAAACCACCCTTCCACGGTGTGGGCGGCTGAGAAGTGACATCCACCCTCATACCCGTAGCTGCAAACGAGACCGAATCGGTCACAATCAACTAGTGGTAGGACGTGAAGTGGTCGTGCATGTAGACCGCTCTACTTATCTCGGGAGTCTCATCAGTGCCGATGACCTGGTGACTGACGAAATCTCAGCACGGATATAGAGAGCTCGAACGGCTTTTGCCAACTTGCGTCACTTATGTCGCAGGCGAGATATCCGTATACTAACTAAAGGATGAGTGTACTGCGCAGCAGTTCTTTCTGTCCTACTGTATGGCTGGGAAACATGGCCAGTCAGCGTAGAAGATATTCGTAGGTTACTGGTCTTCGATTATCGGTGTCCTCGAAGCATTGCTCGTATATCGTGGTACACCCGAGTGAGCAATGCTATCGTTATGGAACGAGTACTATGTAAGGATGGCAGTTCAATCGATGAAGTAGTGAAACTTCATCAGTTGAGGTGTTTGGGACATGTGCTACGTAAACCCAACCACCGACTTCTTGAATAATATCTTCGAAGCTTAATCTTCCCCATTAGCAGTTATATTTCTACTATCTCTAACATCATGTGATTTGTACTGATAATCGCGTCTCTGTGATATTGTGGCATGGTAACCTGGACTAATGTTTGTGTGTACGAAGTTCAACGTTGTAGCTAACTGACTGGCTTAGTATGATCAGTCAGTGTTAACATCTCATATTATAGCAGATAAATCGTGTCAGATTAGTTCAGAGATTAACTCACCAAAAAATACGAATTGAGTTTATACTACAGGCTAGAATTCTGTAGGGAGAATCGATTCTCTCAAAATTATCTATTGATAAGTACCAACTCCTAAAATTTTTTTCGGCGGGATTTATAGCCGATTACCTCCTATGATTTATTATTCATGTTTTAGATATGGTCGGCACATCTAATCGTTCTGCTATATATAATAAGCTTTTTATCACGATACCATTAAAGGCGGTTGGGAAGAAGTCATGTTTTTGATTTTGATAGTTCTTATTACTTATAATGATGTTCATTTGGCTACTATTTATGAACTGCAAGATTTGAAGAACAGGCGCCATACCCCAGATATATATGTATGGTTCAAACTTTGATTGCGTGTTTAATTGTTTACTGTATCATATGAAGCAGGCTATGTTGGAATCAAACACACGATATGCTTTCGGATTAATGAGTTAGCAGTTCAGAGGTGGCAGTTCAGTTGATAATGTAGTGGTTGGAATGTGTATTACATATGCCAAGCCACCGACTAGTGATGTTTTATGGTGCAGGAATAGGGTGGAAGAAAGCTAGTGGCAGTTGAATCAAACATGGCCGAATTCCATAAAGTCACTGACATCTGGAATGAGTCATGTTCACAGGTGTAGATTGCCTAGTTGGTGTTGGCGCGAAACTAGTAACCGATGATTGGAGACTTTGAATGAGATGGCTTGTCTTTGTCTTCTCTCAAATCCTAATCTGAATTTGTCATGAAAAGCTTTCTCCTTGTAAATTTATTTCAAAGGATAACATCTTGGACCTTAATCCTTCTGATTAGTGCTTACACTTCTACTACCTCTACCAGTCCATGAAGACGCTGATTGTTGAACAGATTCATGTAGTTATGTGAAATCTACCTTAGTTGGGGTCCGCGTGATTATAGTAACTAATTTCCAGAGTTTGGGTCTGCAGTAACGCAGATACATTAATCATTCGTCATATTCTAAGTTCGCAAATTCTTCATAATTTTCATTTCACCTACATGAATTTTCTCAAACTGCATTTTTGACGTCTAATCTTTTTTACTACACTTGTGTTAACAAGGTATGAAAATTTGAACTGATGTTCGTACGTATGACGTTCTACTTTATTACTGACTGACTGACTGATCTCAAGTATGAGGGCCGATGTTACTTCCCGGCTGCCTACACTACGGAAAGTTGCTTCTTGAGGAACCTGGAAGGAAAATCGGATTAGTGTTGTTCTAAGAGACCTCTTAGCGTGGCTACAGAGCCCAAGAGACAACTGCTTGAGGCTGGTCAGGTTTAGGCTTTTTATGGGAAGTTTATAAAGTGCTCACTTCGTCCTCGAAGTGTCGTTTCCGCCTAAGACGGAAACCCGTGGTGGGTGACATTTTTAGAGCCTACCTTTTCTAACCTTTTCCTTCCTTGTGAGAAGGCGGCATCCCTGCAAATGCGGGTTATCCGAGGGGAACAGCTTACTGCTGTCATACCCCTCTACAGTCAGCAGTACATCTTTGCCCTCAGACCTTTAGTTGCTGCTTTTAGTCTTAGCGTTCTCTAAGCGACCTGCACGGTATCTTAGAACCGAGCCAATATAACTCGTTTGTTTCATCGCGATAGGCAAGCCCGACCACCACGTCAAGGTTGCAGCTACCGACGTAATATATTTTGGAAAAGAAACAGTTTATTTACTAAATGCATACGCATAGTCTTTAATCACCTTTGTAATCTAACCAAGTTATCCACTGTCCTCTTTCAATCCTTCTTTGCGGTCTTTAAAATACACTTCAGTCTACTGACACTTTTCCATGCTAGCAAATTTTAGTGGACGCTCTGTTGCATTATACTTATGAACTATTTTGTGATTAGCATCCAACACACAAGTAGAAACAACATGCAATTGCAACGTTTAACCTTTGCATTTCTGAACATGTACATGTTACAAGCCCACACTTAGGAAGTAGTTTCATATCATGTGCTATGCTGGACAAAATGTATGGTATAGTACTACTCATTGTAAAATCTGTAGTTATCCTTGCAGTGTATTACCCTTAGAATTCTGACCACATTTCATATCATACTTTCATCTATTACCTCTCATCGAGCATAGGCAACCGACCATCCATCCATCCTCTGCTCTCCTTTACAGTTGTTCTCAAGTCCCATTCATTCTTTTGAAATCTACCTCCAATTCTCAGCGCAATGTGTTCTTTGGTCATGCCCTTTTCTACCATATACCACTTAGTACCATTGTATATATAAGTTTTTGGAAAGTATATCATGGTAGTGGACCGGTTGATCAGACATTATTTGCAACAACCTTCTGTGGGAAAGAATAAACCAGATTCCAGCGGAGGACGAAGCTCTGTATGTGGATAAGGCACACATTGAGGAAAGCACCCAAATACACCACAAGAAAAGCTCTCATTTGGAATCCTGAAGGCCAAAAAAGAGAAGGGGGAGACCAAAGAACACATTACTCCAAGAAATGGAGAGAGACATGCGAAGATTGAAGAATAATTGGACAGAACTAGCAAGGAAGGCGAAAGACAGAGTAGGTTGGAAAATGCTGGTCGGTGGCCTATGTTCCCTTTGTGCGTAAGAGGTGTAATGAAGGGAGAAATATCATGAGCCCTTAAATTATTAGAAGGGTGTAAACGTAGTTTGATACCTGTATTTTATCAAGGTATAATAACGTTCAAAACTATGGGCATTAACTTGTGTCTGCACTTGGAACTATTAGTTTATTATAATCTAAGCAAGAGTAGTTGCTGGCTAGCCTTGTAATTCGAGACACTTGTCTCGTCCTATTTAGGATTCATCAGCTCCATACAGCTGCATCTCAGAATTGAATTTCATCTTAGGAATCCAACTGAGAACCATTTGTTTTAGACTTAAACTGCCTTATTCTCTTAGTAATTATGTCCAGATAACCAAAATCTTTTTCTTTGGGATAAATTTTCAATCCATATATGTATAGATAATGATTTTTCTCATTGATACCGTAGTATTGTAATTGGTTAGTCTCTATTGATATCTCTGTGTCATATTCGACCGAGAAAGACTGATCAATTGTAGTTTTAAAACGAGAATAACATTTTGCAAAGGTAAGTTTTTAATTCATACTAATCGATCTTCACCAACAATTTAGATTGGACTCTTCAGTAGTCATTCGGTTTGTAACAAGACTAATTTCTTAGATAATTATAACATTTTAATTTCAGTTGTTTTTATTGGAAACGATCTATTTAAATTTGGTTTATGCCAAAGTGTGTGATACTTTGTGATTTACATTGGATTTCCCCGTTTGACATCTAGTCTTGCAATCTAAAAATTGTTTTACTTGAAAATATATATTACTCATTAGTAGTTAAAGTATATGGCATGAAGTTAATGGTCACTAGTCAACAAATTACATATGTGAACAGTATTCTAAGTGACTTAATACAGATAATTTGACGTGAAACACAATACACTCGATGTGAAACTTGGTTGTAGAGACTTAGAACTTTGTTGATTGTCGCTGACTAGCATGAAAGAAAAACCTTAAACTTTCCGCTATCTACCTTCAGCCATATGATGCTATCAGTTGATCACGTATACTGCGGACAATCGTCTCATCTTTATTCATGGTGTAAATACTAGTATAAACCGGAATTGTAGAATGTACAAAATACAACGCAACTCATGTGAATGCCTTTATTGTGTGAGAGAGAGATTTTCTTTAGCTAGATAGTTTGAAAACGAAATGCATCTTGTCGTTCTAGATAACAGAAACTTGATGACCAAAGTTCCGAACCTTGTGTTCCAAACAACAGCATCTAGTCTGATTTCTCAACTGACGTCCTATAGGTGTAATGAAAGATCTTAAGACCAGATAGATTAAGTACACCTTCAGGCTTTCATTCGCAACCATTGAGATTCATGATTTTCCTTTCTCACATATCTTCTAGTCTCCAAAACACTAACTGCGTCATACATTTTTATCCGACACATTCTTTTAGCAATAACTTTTGAGTGGTGCTCCCCTGCATGTTACTTACAAGCTACTTTAGTGACTGATTTGAACTCGGAGTACGGCTCACCTTGTTTAGTGGTGGCCTGCGATCTAACACCTTTTTGAGTGGACAGTCGAGCATACAATGAAATAAATCTTCCCTTCTCAATCTACGTATATCATACTTCGTCAAAGTCCTTTTATGCGATAATGACTATAAGAGGCCAGATATAGTTTTTCGGATGTGTAAAGTCATAATGAAGTCAAGTGGAGAAGGCAAGTGAGTCAATTCAATACAATGAGTTATGACCAACTACTTGTAGTCAAACTAAAATAGGCCACACTTGTGATAAACGAATTGAGCATGCGCGCGTACACACACAATGAAATTAAAATAACCAAGGTTATGAACAACTAATTGACAAGTTCGAAAGACAGATGAATAATAACTTGAGAAGAATGGTTCAGTTGATTTGTCCAAAGGCTCAAGACAAGTCCTTTCGATTCAACATACTGATACACACTACATCACGTTGTGAGCAACGTACTCGACATATAATGACATGATTTTCTCCACTAATTCCACTCTTCTTGTGTCGATCTCTTTCTCTCACTTTTTTTCTTTGAAATACAGCTGTGTAAAATGTCTCAAGCAAAACAATCGTGGTGGCATCCATCCAAATTACCGCCAAATGGTTATCAATTAAATAATAATTTAGAAAAATCGAATCATACATCATTCTATCCATTCAATAGTGAATTAGGTTATAAAGTATTTAAAAGAATCATTGAAATGAAACGAATCAATGCAGAAAAACAAAATAATCATGTGGATTTATATCATTTATCCGATTATGTTCAATCATTCAATAATAATGATAATTATTTATTGTTAAATAAACAAAATGTTGATTTAACAAAATCTTTGCCAAGTAAGTAAGTTGATTGTTGTTTATGTATGTAAAAAAAGATTGAATGGTTCAATAGTTTGTTCGAAAATCAATAATGATTCGGTTGAGTTTCCATTCAAACAGGTTGAAATAGAGTAATCGTTTTCTGTTTGAGATGTTGAGTTATATATCAGTCAGTCAGTCAGATGCAACGTAGAACTTCGTACGTCAGTACATCAGTTCATGTTGCCCCATACCACATCAGCACAGAGATGTAATTGTCAATTCAAATCCAAAAGTAGAAGAGGTGGTAAAGGTATTAGAAGTAATCGGAGAGGTTACGATTAGAAGATATTATTCATGAAGTATGATTCAGTGAGATGAGTTTAGAAAGTCAAAACTAGGAGGGTTGAAGAATTCAGAAGATTAGGATTTGAGAGAATACAAAAGATAAATGCACCGGCGCCATTGCGAACGATTTTGAGTCATGTCATTCAATGTCTCTAACCATCGATTATTATCATCTCGCGGATCCCAACCAGGTAGTCTACAACTGCCGACATGGCTAAGTCCACTCGTCAATGACTTCATGGATTTCTGCCATGATTTGGCCGCCCCTAACTTTCTTCCAACCTATTCCCACGCTACATAACATAGCTCGTCGAGGCAGTCGGTGGTTAGGCATTCGTAACACATGTCCCAACCACCTCAACTGATGAAGTTTCATTACTTCATCTATTGATTTACCATTCTTACCTAGCACCCGTTTTCTAATAACAGCGTTGCTTACTCAGGTGTCCCAGGATATACGAGCGATGCTTCGAAGACACTTATGATCGAAAACCAATAACCTACGAATATCTTCTACTCTCACTGGCCATGTTTCACAGCAATAAAGTAAGACGGAGCGAACTACTGCGCAGTACACTCGTCCTTTAGCCCTCATCTATGACACTCGCTTACGAGAATCGGACCCAGATTCTTTGGCCTTGATTAAGAACGCTTAACCTCTAGACCACAGACTCAGTATCAAACTTCAATCAAAAGTATTGTGCCACTTCACCCATTGTCTCTGATAGTTCTTGCATACATCTGACAGGATTGAACACCACTGGTCATATCTACTAATCAGAACTGTGAGGACGTTCTAACGAAGAGTTGGTCACTAGCAAGCATATGTTCACGATATTCGTTAGAGAGTTAGTTATTGAGATTATTGTTTTTAATCGAAATCATGAAATATGGATGCACAGTGTCGAAGAGTCCCATACGAGGACGAAACGGCCGTCCAGTGCTTCTAGTTTAGTGAACGAGAACACAGGTGGGGCAACCGAATTGTATTTAACGAAAATTACAGAGTTACTCAGTAAAATCGGAAAACCATATCGTAAATTGTTCATTTGCAAAATATCAATTCATCATATCGAACTGGACTGTTCCTGATGCAAAACATCAATCCATTGTCACTATTCATGCGTTTCATACAAATTCCATTGTTTTCTAACTCTTCCTTTCTTGATCTTCCACCATCTTCTGTTGCATTACGTTTACACTCACGTCATATACTACTTATAAGTAGCTCGCACCACACTAGGTTTATAATAGTGGTTTAACTATGATCGATTCATGACTTCAGTTGTATTTTTTGTAACCAATCAGTTAAGACATACCTCTAAAATACTACTAATTAATTTTTACGTAGTATATTGACAATAAATCTAGTAAGTTGTTTCAAAAACTCTCATATCATTCACTGAACATTCATTGATCCTTCATTATGTTTTAACCTGATAGCCAATGAGAAGATTATCTCAGAAGATAGATTAACTTTCTATCATACAAAATTTGATCATAAATCAAAACACATTGCATAGTTGAAATACCTAACTACATAGTACACCAAAATAAAACTTCCATACTTAGTAGCGATAATTAGGACAGGTAAACAGCAAAGTCAACATTTTCAATACAAATATTAAAACAATTCTATTGTATTGAGTGGAAACTTGGAGAACTATGAAAGCTATCATCCAAAAGATACAAGTAATAGTTGTGTACGCAAGATAAATATCACCTAAACAGCATCATCTTTAATCTACTGTGACAAAGAACAAACCCGATTACTCCTTCAGCTGAGGAAGAAATCAGGAGAAGCCGATAGAGGTGCATAAGACACACATTGCAGAAATCACCACCCGATAGCATCATGATGCAAGGCCTAACATGGAATCTTCAAGGTCAAAGGAGAAGTAACACATCAAAGAAAACATTACGCCGCAACTCAAAGGGAGACACCAAAACAATGGATAGCAATTGGAATTAGTGGAAAAGGAGAGCAGAGGACAAAGTTGTTGAGATAACGATTGTCGGTGGCCAATGCTCCATGACGTGTAATGAGTATGAATAAGTAAGAGCGTAGTCCAACATATAATAACAATTCATGAATCCGTAGAAGTTTACGAGAAGGCGAACAAAAATGCAGTGACAACGTAATCTCTTGTAGTCATACAGTCATGGTTTCAAAACAATGTGTAACTTAACAATCTTCACAACAACCCCGTCATGCAAATTACCAGTGCTCACTAGTGACTAGCTAGCTTCGTGAGGAATCTTCTCCGAGTTCTAGTGGGAAGACGTGACCAGTGAAGTTCAACCTGTTCGGGTGTAGCCAGTAACTACTACCGAAGACTGTAATGAGGTTGCGCCTGACAGTGAATTGATCAAGTTAGACATTAACACCGTTAGATACCGGCTCAGTGGTCTGATGGTTAGGCGGTCGCGCACAATACCGAAGGTCCTGGGTTTGAATCCTGCGGGGTGCAGGAGTCGTGAATGCGCACTGCCACTGATGAGTCCCATACCAGGACGAAACGGCCGTCCAGTGCTTCCAGGTTTCTTCTAATGGTGGTCTAACATCGATCGATTCATGGTTGCAAAAATGTGTATACAGTTAAAAGATAAATAATAGCCACACATAAAATATGCCTGAAAGTTCTAAATTTCCTTCCTTTTATTAAAACAATAATTTTGAAAGGAAATTCAAAATTGAAGCATCACTTTCACTATTCATATCTCTTAATAGAGGAAATTTTTGAGATAATGAAAAAGATTTGTAGCTAGGATGAGTTTTTATTCTGTAGAGTTTCATTCTCTAATCTGACTAACTAAATCATGACGTTTTCATTATTCTCCTGAATAATATCAGCAAGAAAACTGAAAATGTTTTGTATAGTTAGTTGTTGGATAGTAAAACCAACAAAATCATTTTTAATTATTCTTATACAAACCAAACGATAAATTGACGAATAAAGGTTAAATCAGTACTTACTTACCTACTTAAGCATGTTACTGTTGGGGATGTTAGATCCCCAAAATTCGCTTGATAATGCCGTATTTTGGTTTTCACGTTTCGCCAGCATGGGCTGATCAAATGACCTTGAGATTTCAATTCCCACCAGGAAAATCAATGGCTGTGATTGGCTACAGTGTATTTTAGTATGCTATTTTCTTAACTGTCTCAAGGACGTTGTTATGTTGTATAAATAAACGAGAGTTGTATGCTTGATTGTACTGGGATTGCTGGGTGCTTGTAGAATATACTTCTACGCCTACAAAGTCTTCTATTTCGATTCTGGGATTCAGGGTAGCCTTCCTGGAAGCTGGTAAAAGTCTCGTTCGCGTTTATCGACTAAGGTAAACTCGTAATAGCATCAAGCATACTAAGTGTCGAACATATCAGTGGCGACGGGGCTCACAATTCACAATGTCAATTAATCTTGAACAGTTAGAATCTTTACTGGAACGTCAAGGTAAACGATATGAACAGTTCCAGGAACGTATGTTGGAGCTGTTAATGAAACAAATGAATTTGAATCACAGAGGGTTTGCCGATGATTCATATAATCCGCATACAGACTCGATAGTTAATTCCATTCATGAATTTCATTTTGATGGCCTTGCTGGTGTGACTTTCGAGTCTTGGTTTAAGAAGTATGAGGATTTGTTCAAGGTCGACCTCAACAATCTTGATGACGCCACCAAAGTCAGAATCCTTTTGAGAAAGCTCGGCACAATCGAACACGAACGTTATAGTAATTTCATCTTCCCAAAGAACCCACGAGATTTCTCTTTTGATGCTACAATTGATACGCTGTCGCAAATCTTCTCTGAACAGTCATCTCTCTTTAATATTCGTTATCAATGCCTCAAAATAATCAAGTCAAATGAAGATGACTGGGTAAAGCATGCTGGCTTAGTAAATCGTGAATGCGAACGATTTAAATTATCATCAATGACGGAAGATCAGTTTAAGTGCCTTGTGTTTGTGTGCAGCTTTCAATCTCCCGACGATGCTGATATAAGAACCAGAATCCTAAGTAAAATTGAACAGTGCCCAAACATCTCGCTTCAAGAAATAACTGCAGAGTGCAAGAGATTAGTAAACTTGAAGCATGATACCTCCATGGTCGAAAACAAGGGCCTCTCATCATACGTGCATTCCATTAGTGAAAAGAAAAATTCCAATTCGGCCCAAAAACCCAAAATGAATCCACCTTCTGCTTGCTGGCACTGCGGTTCATGGCACTATGTACGGAACTGCCCATTTAGGCAGCATAGATGCAGGAAGTGTAAAGTCATCGGTCATAAAGATGGCTTTTGCCTACAGAAAAAGCCAAAGCGATCCAGAAGTGCTAAGAAGCCTGTTCCTAGATCCAGTACCAATGCATTGAGCCTAATATCTTCCTGCCAAAGTTCATCACCAGGTGAGAGGAAATTTATTACTCTTAATATTAACGGTTATTTGTGTAGAATGCAAATAGATACTGCATCTGATGTCACTATCCTCTCACGCAAAAATTGGACCAAATTGGGCAGCCCAAGCCTGCAGCACACAACACAAAAGCCTCGTACAGCATGTGGTAATTATCTTCGTCTGTTAGGACAATTGGAATGTAAAGTTGCTTTCCGAGATTCGTCGTTTACTGGGGTATGCTATATAACGCCAGCTGATCTAAATTTACTTGGTTTCGATTGGTTCGACC